TGCATTGTTAATGCTTAGTTGAGCACTTATTAGAAATCTTTGAATATGCCTGTGTGGTATTGGGGTTTTACCCAATCTAAATCTCAAATACTGTGCTCCAATGCATTACCTGGTCCTTGCTTTAGGACATTCGTCGAAGGATCAAATCGAATTGGGCGGAACCGTGAGACGCTACGAACGTGATCGTCGGGTTCCCTACAAAATAGCATAAAAGAAGCAAGACACCTATCCTATTGATAAAGTTGGGTTCTGGTTCAAACTATTGTCGGTCATTCTGACACATCATTGTGAGTTTAAATTGGATAGTTCTTAAGTTTTGAGAGCATACTGCACGTGTCAAGAAGTCGCCAAGCTCTCCGCCCTGTCTTTTCCTGCTTTTATTCTAGTGAGCATTTTGAGCTCCTACGAAAAGCAGCAACTCTATCAACGCTGTACGTGGCGTCTCGAGACCTCCCACCGGGCACACAACGCAACAAGTGGAGATGAATGCACATATTTCAAGGACAAAGCACGTAGACCTGAAAATGGCCTGTAGGCAACTCCACGGGTACAAGTTCGAGAAGTCTTAAAGTGGTCACAGAAACAAGATTTACAGTGTGGGCTTTAGCTCCGCTTAACCATTTCAAATTGCATCTTGTAAAGGATGAATGCTACAAGAGTATTTTTACGTAAATACTATATCTGTTGTTTGTTCAAATCAATTATACTTTTTAAAACCATTTATAAACCCGGCGTAGGCGTTTGCAAGCTCGCGGTAGAAGTCTTGGTACACCTCGGCAAGATATTTGGTATCAAATAGACTTCGGCTATCTGGTTCATCCTGTTTCTGGTCGCCTTTGTGCTGCTTATCCGTCTTCTTCGCTTGCGCCTTCGCCGATCGCTCGGGTTTCTCATCACAAGTTTGTGCAGAATTGTTGCGTTTTCTGCTGTGAAGTGGTTTGCTGATGCCACACTAAAAGGGGTGAACAGAATAGTGCAAGCAACAAGAGAGCGCCTTGCATAATCGAGGTCCATGCGATTGATTTTGTAAGCTGCGTGATGGTACAACCTCTATCTTGTCGCTAGAGTAATGGTCTGTCCAGGTGTATAGTGGGGGGGGTGGTTTGGGGGAGGGTGGAGTGGAGTACTTTTAATGGTTGTAGGTAGGCCTTAGCACTGATAGGTACTTGTCTCTCAACGTTCGTCACTTGCGTGGTGATAGGTTTGGGAGCACTGTCGTGAACGCTTTGTGTCTATCAATGTCAATGTTCGTCGCAGTGAGCGATTTACGTCAGGGGGATTTGTATGCATCAACGGCACTAGGTTTGCAAGGGTGAGGGCAACAACTCACCCTCCAGTGAAGGCCAAGTAGTTGTCCTGATTCACGAAGCCGTCGGAGCATCCACATGTCGAA